CCAACACGTAAAAGAAATCTAACTGTTTAGACTAAATGCACATTTCAAATTTGCATTGAAGGGACATTTTGTGGTTTTGACTTATTTTCCCTCCAACAAAAAATAACCAATCTTGAATAATGATAGCATATCCTTTTATTAAAAGCAAATAATAAACATTACATTGGCACAAAGCCCAGAGTGGAGTTTCCTCACAATTTCTTTACATAGTTTAAGCTCCTTAATTTAATTAAAGTCCTTCTCTTCCTCTGTTTTAAACAAATGAGGTGATGCCCTGGCAGTACAAATGGGACTGGAATAGCTGGCCGTCTCTGCTCTGTGTGATGTTGAGGACGACTACTATAGAACAGATGCCAGCCTTTTGTGGCTGCTACTGTTGATTCTGCTGCTGCCTGCATTAGCCTTAGCAAAGGGAGAGCTATGGGTAAAAAGAGAGCAACAGTCTGTATGAAAGGAACTGTGGGTTTACCGCATGGCTGGATGTATTTAACATTTAAATGGTTCAAAACTAGCAAAAACTACTGGAAAGCTGCAGACTTATAAATAACATTGCAACTGGTTACAATAAAAATACAAAACAGATGAGGCACAGAGCTGTGAGGAGCCGTAGCCATGTTGAAGTGCAGTCTTTGTCTCCATCAGGGCTGGGACAGATTGTTGGGGGGTTTAGTCTGAGACCCTCACAGACTCTGAGGGCCACAGACCACAGTGATGACTGACACTTGATACATAAAGCCCTGTATTGTGGTCAGACAGCCATTGCCTTCAACTTGCCACATACCAGGTGTGTGATTCAACCAGAGCCAGTTCAGCACATTATCAAACATAAGTGGCTGTTTAGGGCCCTGCAGCTGTTAAAGGTTTCAACGATGAAAATGTTAAACGTTATGCAATCATATACTTTCCACCATGAGGGAAACATGGATGGGATTTTACCAATAGTTTAGAGATGGAAAGTAAAGCAATTAGATTTACTTTCATGGATTTCACAGAAAGGGCTAAACATGTCATTTGCTGTATATACAGTGTAGACTATTATATGACTTTAAGTTGGCAAATTCTAGTGATTTTTGGAAGGAATAAAATGTGTCATGCCTGCCAGCTGCCCGAAAGAAATGAAGCAATTTTCTCTTTAAATGATCATTCTGATGTCAAAATGTTTTGGGGAGCAAACTTGCCAACTTAATCTGTGCTTGTGTCATCTGGTTTACCTTTTCCAACATGGGAGTCAGATCATTTTGTCATCTCAAAATCAATCATAATTACTTAATAAAAACCCATGATAACAATGAAATATGTATTTAATGATGAATTAGAAAATTAACTAAAGCATGTTTTGGACCTGGCCCATTAGTCTAGTAATACAACATGCAACAAGGCCTGGTTTGTTTCTTTCCATCAAGGTATTAATAACAAATGCGTCTGAGAAAAAGTATGTCCAAACCTCTTTGTCGTGACTATTGCTTGGTACAGTTAAGCCCATCTTCACAACTCTTTCATTAGAGTAGCAGCGTACTCAAGTTTCACTACCAAAAACCATCAATTTTGTTCTGATGTTAAATTAAAACTTTTTATTTCACATCTAAACCTGCAAAAAAAACACTGTCTACCTTACTCTGTCTTTTTATTTATTTTTCTTTCATCTCTATTTAAACAATCTCAGGCCATATGGCTTTTCCTATAGCCTAAAGCTATTTACAAAGGAGAGCGTGAAGGAGTGTCAGTATTGGCAGTGTGTTGCCTAAATATAGGGCAGGAGTAGGCACAATGCACAGGGCCATCCGCCACCCGCCTCTGCCCAGAATACACCCTGTGGGCAGAGCAGCAGGCCTCCGGCACATGTTCTGTGGCCGGCCAGATTAAAGCTCTCTTTACAGCACTGACAAGGGCACTTTTGGGTTCTCTCGCCCAAGAAGTTGCACAGACTCTGCTATCTAGCCTCCTTCTACTTCTCTCTATTCCTCAATGACTCACGACTTCAATGGACAGCCATGCGCAACTGAACAAAATGCATCCGTTACCAAACTTTACAGACAAAAGACTGCACAGGCAAGGCAGATGAGATTATTGTAGGTGGCAGTTCTCCACTACAGCTCAGAGTGCATTTCTATAATTTTAGTTGTGGGGTGGAGAGCCGCATGCTGAAGTCATTTGAGGGAGGGACCGGTTGCTTGCCAGCGGTCGTGGTCAGAGTGGGAGGGGAATAATATGTACTGTTACATCTTTTGTTTCCCGTCTCTTTATCTTCACCTCTTCACAGCTGCATGCATTTTCCGTAATTATTTTGTGTTCAAAATGTTTTATCACTGCCTTGTACTGTACATTATAAATACCATTTTATATCAGCCACCTACTCCCTTCTCTTTTCCTGGCAGAATTGCCAGCTTCTCGAGATACTGCATGTCCTTTGCTCCTTCTCTGTGTCAGAGTGATCAGTAAAAATTTAATGACACTATAAAATAATAAAAGTGCCATTAATTTATCACAGCACTTGATTCGTGGGCAGTAAAGAAGCATTAGTTCACTGAATATTTTTAAGCCTTAAAACAACCCTGATGCTGCACAGATAATTTATGTCCCTAATTTCAAGTGTAATTCTAATTCACAGATATAAATCACCAAACTTATAACCAATAAGTATATTAAGCCCAGTATATAAAATTTTATGAAAATTTGAGGTACCATATTGCATAGTCTGATATCAATTAGCATAGCTAACACAAGGAAGGGAGAAGTACTTACTGTAACTACCCCTTTATATCAAGCATGTAAAATGCTGGCTCGAAAAAGTACATGTACATGTTTTGTATATAACCACAAAAAAACCACATGATCTTTTTTATGTCAAATGAAGTGAAGGTACTTCAAAGAATCCACCAAGAAGAGCTGTCTAATGTACTTATATTCGCTAATCATATGACTTTGTGCGGCGGAGAAAGAAGTTCAACACTGAGGTAGTTATTAATGAAATTCATTGATGGATGGCCCCTGTTCTCTCTCCTTCTCAGCCCAACATGATGCTTAATGATCATGAGTTTATAAAAGGACTTGATTGATCAGGAGGGACCAACGAAGCACAGAAGAGGGACGAGATGACTACTTTATTACACACATACAGTACCCATGAACGCTGTGTCTTCCTAGTGGACTGTCCAAGTAGCATCTGAAGCAGCACCATTGCCCATCCAGCTAATCGCACATCAGTCACTTTGTCATCGGGCTGCTAGCTTCTTTCATTAAGAGCAATAATGTGGCTGGGTGATGAATACAGCTCTGTGCGCGCGTGCATGCATGTGGTGGTTAACACAGAATGTGACACTGAGAAAGGCACCATACTCCATCCTCTCTTTACAAAGCGTCCTCTTGCCCAGCAGGGACCACCACATATGTCATAATTAGAAAACACTTAAGTAAGCAAAGGGCCGTCAGATAGACAGGCTCTAATCACTGACCATAAGCAGGTAATGGTTAATTGTATATCAGAATCACTCAGCTGGCCATAAATAATGACTGCTCCTTCAAGTATGATGGTAAATTGCAGTGCTCTTTCTGTCTCTCTCACACAGTCCTTTCTTTTGAGGAATAGTTCTTGAATAAATAAAAGCATGAGGAAAATCAAAATACTGTGAAAGGCCTCAAATGGATTTGAACCATCTTCATCCTTCAGCTTGTCATATTTTTTAACGCTCAAGAAAAAAAGGTTATACAAAAGACAAAAATTAGACTGATATCTAAATTGGATTTTTCTCCCCCCAAAACGTACTGTAATTACTGATTATTTTATTTGTCAGGAAAAGACAAGAAAATAACTCAAATGCAGCCATAAATAAATATTTTCACTTACAATAGTTTGGTCTGCTTAATTTTTTATCACCTTCTCCTATTAGTGGAAAACAAAACTTCTCTGAGGGGGGAAAAGTGAAAAAACAACAAAACGGTGTGATGCATTACAAAGAAGCGGCTGAAAGATTAATGTGTGTGTTTGTGTCGGTGTGTGTGTGTGGCAGGGGAGCGGTTAGTATTGTTTGGGGACTCTACCTGAATATGTGTTCAGACTGCATGTGATAGGCATGTTTAGAAAAGAAGCAGGCAGAGGTCATTGCAGACAGTACATCTTTGAGATTGAATGCTCACCCTGGGAGTAAAACAAATGCTTCTTTTTTGTTGAATGGTGGCAACATGCCTGCTTTTAGTGTCATCCAGGCAAAACCTTAAGGGGGGATTATTTGTATCATGCAGAGTCAAAGTGTCCATCTCCTAGTTGAGTCTTTAGAGAGGAAGACAGCCCTTTGCTAATGCCCTGTGTATTCACTGAGGAAGTAGGTCATTCAACAATGGAGCCAGCAGCAGTCGGCACTCTCCCCTTGCATAATACATTAAGTGTAATGTGCAGCAACTATTCAGAGGCCCCCCGAAAGCTGTTATTTTATTCTGTAAATGCACACGGACATGACATTTAATATTGTCACAGAGCGCTGAATGACAGGGTTTCATTGTGCGTCAAGTACAACATGATGCCAAGTTAAATCTGAGCACAAAGCGACATGACAAACGCGAAAACACGGTGTGTTCTCTAAAGCATGAACTCTAAATAAATGATGGGCGCTGAGCTCTGGGCACTGTATACTGGAAGGGAGGATGTAAGGAGAAGATTACAGAGGAAAATCTGAGCACTGCAAAGAGGTCCACGGCCCCATTGTGTGCTCGGGATCACAAAGTATCCTTCTGTAAATCTATTTACAGCACCCCTGGCCCTCACTGTCTCTCTGCCTCCTGTGATCCATTATAGCCGCTGCTGAATAGAAAGATGAGAGAGGAAAAAGCTACATCTAGCTCATGTCAAAAGAGCAGCTCTTTAAAAGATCCTCCATTTATCAGACACTTTTTTTTTCTTTTCAAAATTTCACATTCCTGATGGTTATTTTTTTTAACAATTATTTTAATGTAAAGACGTGTATTTGTGCTTGTTGGTTTACCTGGCTGTTTGTATTTTCCTCTAGGAGAGGGCACATTTCGAGAGCATGGGGCACCACCTCGGCAAGCTGGGTGAGGAAGGAAAGATTGGCCACAGAGTTATTGACCTAACCAGGCCAGAAGATCTAGATGGTAAGGCCATATTCATTTCGTTTGCCTCTTTTTTTTCTTGTTTTTTTTTTTTTAAATCGCACATAATTGTGATTGACTGCTTGTACATCAGATGTCCACACAAATTCTAAAAGTTATTAATGTTGAGTGCTATATACACTCAAGACAAGTTCTATACTTTGAAAGTAATAGAAGTTTTGATGGCTGATAAAGCCCGCTGCTGCATGTCTCTCACTTTAAGATGGTAAAATGGTTTGTAAGAGGTGTGTGTAGAAAAGTGCGTGTGTTTAAGAGAGATGTGGGGGTTGGGGTGAATGCCGTTTGAAATGAGCCGTAGCTCCGAAATTTTCACAGGTAGGTGAGCGTAGGACAAGGGTGCCTGACGACAAAGCTGGCTTTTTTCCAAGCTTGGCTCCAGTTGCTGTTGTGCTTGTTTGAGGTCCTGGGCACAGGGGTGTAAATTTGGTTTGCACCAGAGTGACAAAGCGTCATCTCCCTTTGTGGCGCTGGTTCCTACACAGGAGCAAGGAGTACTTCATTGCACTAATGTTTGTCCGACATAAATATTTGCTGCATTTTTCATGGCACTTCAGGGTCAGGGCAAAGAGGAAAATGGTTCTGACTCATCTTTGATGCCTGAAAGAGGGCAGAAGGATAGATATTTCTCAGGACAATGTAACCCATCAACATCTTTAAATAGCATCTTAGACACATTTCCCATCAGTTTTAGAAAGATATGCTCCTGCATAACTGGTTCTCATAGACATTTATAAAAAAAACATGTTTTACTTCTCATAAAAGTGTTTGTTTACCAACTCCAAAGCAAATTTCTAGTTTCACATCACACCCAATCTTGAGGATTTGAATTAGAGGTGCATTTAGTGGATTCATTGACATGTTTCCCATGTGAGCCACAGAAGCAGATCCCATCCCACCCATCTGACTGCTCGGACAGATGTGCTTCCAGTGCTCATTCTCCCAGTGGGAACCTTCCCTCTGTGGCTACCGTGGAGTCAGGACCGAAAACAGAGCGTACACCAGGGCAGTTGTGTCCTTTTAAGTCCTGCGCAGGGCAGAGGGAAAGGCTTGCGCCAGACGCCTCACATCAGTGTTCCCAGTGGGCTATGGATTAGGAGCAAGCAGAGGTTAGAGGAGAGGAGAGGTCCTCTTCCCAGGGGGAAATGGCTGGGAGCCAGGGCAGTACACATAACTCAAAACACAGTTACCATTTCTTCTCTTTCACCACAAATATATCTGTCTGTCTCTTTCAGCTTCACCAACAGCAAAACACGGCTGAATGATGTGAAGCAGGGTTTTATGATGTGAACCACAAAGTGTTTACTCTGAGGACATGTTTACTTTTGAAATCCTTGTTGTGAGGACTCTCTACTCCAATCGAGGCTTGGCTCCCTGGCATACCCTGATATATAGGAACCTACAGTACCTATCTAAGTACAACTTATTTGTGCTTTCTTTAATAACCAACATTTGCTGATTTGCATGTCAGAAATCATGAAGATGTCATGGTTAGTTAAAGTTTGTTTTTATGTTCAACATGTAGCAAGAATCTGCTTCACATTAAAATATAGTGATTTTTATTCTTTAACAACTTAACAATGGTTATGTCACCAAAGATGTCTAAAAAAATGTTAAACTAATCAAGCTTATTAGCCAGTTTTGGGGATCATTCTGGTACAGTAGGAGAGACATTGATTTGGAATCCCCTCTGTATTTCATCACACTTTTCCTCAGTAGTTCAGAACACACTGAATATACTTTGGTTGTTTCCTGAAAAGGAAAATTACTGGGTGTACCTCCCAACCCTCACATAGGGCGTGAAAGCCCCTTGGTATGTTAGCAGCTTTCCCTTCAGAACAGAGCAGCCACATTGAGCAGGCCCAGCCTACAGCGGACTTCTGTCATCACAGTAGTTCACAGAAAGCTTTAGGTCGCTTAAGCTAATATTTGCAAAGCATGCAGCAACCAAAGTCCTAATGACTTGGAAAAAAGTGGCAAAGGAATGGAAATAGATAGGATTTCCTTCGTTTTGCAAAGCCACGAGCAGCACACACAAACTCACCGCAAATTCATTAGGTCTTTCTAAGCTTTGATGAAAACATTTCTAAATACCACAAAGGCCTCAGCCCAGCCAGCCCCCTTTGTTCATTCACAAATGGCAGTATGGAGTTGCTGTGTAGCTGAGTTTGTGTGTTTGTCCAAACCACCCCCCATCACTATGGGTCTGCAGAGAACAAAGAAGTTGTTGAGAGATGTGTGGAGGCAGGAAACAGAATTAATCCAAATGCCCAGTGTGATAATATCAACCATAGAGTGAGAAATGATGAGGCTGTAGCCAAGCAGCACCACTAACAAAGTCCTCATGGAATAGGATGAGAAGAACAGTAGTGTTGCATTGTTGTTACAGATCACTGGTGATGGGTTTTGGTAGCTCGGAGCTGTTATGAAGTTTTATACGAGTTGATTGTTTGAAGGGGCTTTTGTTGTTGTTTTTCTTCCACTGTGAGGCCGTGGGAATCAAGCTCTGGCTTTTATTGCAGAGGAGTTTTCCTAGAAGAAAGCTAAGATAAGGCGGCTCAGGCATAATGATTTATCAAGTCCCAACAACAATAACTGAATAAGTCAACACAATCAATAAGAAAGTTCTGTTTTGAAGTTGGCAAGTTGCCAAATTTACCCCCAATAGGACACATTTCTGTGCGTTTCTTGTGTCTCTGTGTGTGCATGCATCTCCTTTTGTGTGTGCAAAGCTGGGATGTTGTGGAAGATTAGACCCACTTTAAGGCTAAATGCATATGAGAGGGGATAGAGTAGACAAAAGTAAAAGCCATAGCCTGCATGTTGAAACAGGTTGGCTGTTTGTTCCCAAGTTCCCATGTGTGTGCGCGCGCACACACACACACACACACACACATGCGCTCCTCAAATCATCCTGACTGGAAAAGAAAAAAAGGACTGACATGTTATAATAGGGCTTATATCACTTGTAATTTGTAATGGTTTAATTAGCATGCTATGAGCTCAGGCTCGAACAGGGGCACTGAGCACTGTATCCCGTCTGCCCATACACATTAATCTAGCCTGATCCTGCTCCGAGGGAGAGGCTCTATTGTCAGCAGTAAATGCCTTCAGTCAGAGGTGTTAGATTTGATCCCAACAGGGAGGGCTTGGCAGGTTTGCGTGATTGTTGCCTGCTCACCGAGGCTCATCCTCTCGAGCAGATTCCTGGGTGACATTACGAGTCTGCCCACAGAACAAAGATGAGTAAGGAGGAGAAAAGGGGGAGGAGAGGGGACGGCTGGGGCAGTGCTACCCTCTGGCTTGGTACATGGTCGAGTCTGAGCCTGCAGCTCACAGGTGTGATAGGCCTTTGGGCCTCACTACATTCTCTCTCCATTTCTCTCCCTTTTTGCTGCTTCCTACACTCTCCCTTCTCCATTTTTTATACCCCCCTCCCCCCACCTCCCCACCACCACACACAATCATTCTTTCTCACTGTAATTCATGCTGCTCATCTGCAGTGTTTCCAGGAGAGACAAATTAAAAGGGGATTCTCATATCGCTCTGTCACACTTGAGCTGCGGGCCTCATGAATCACAATAAATTCTATTAAGCAGCGCTCCCCCTGTTTCGCTCCTTCCCCAGCTACCACCCAGGGGGCCTGCCACTGTCACTGCTAAAAATCTGTGTTTATTTACACAATCACACACCTAACTAACTGATTCCTACATGTCCAGTACCTCCTGGAAAAAAATAGTTAATGCTCATTTGCAAAATGTCACCGTAGGGCCATGATTTTCAATGAAAAGACAGAAACAATGTTGCAGTAAATTGCATGTTGCAGCTTCTAGGGATTTGCTGAGACTGGCTGCTAATGCACAGGATGCCTCTGATTAAGTCATATATATTATGGGGCTGAATAAGGAGCCAAATGAATTTACCCGCACAGGCCTGTATGGTCTTATATATATTGCCACTCTCCCAACACTGTATAGTGATGTTCATACTGTGATATATATAGACATATATTACAGTGAAGAATTTTTCAGGTCAAAGGTCAAACTCTGTGTTAGGCTGTTGGTTTCCCAGAGGCAGCCTTATTAGGTCTGAGTCAGATTGATAACTTCATCACTTTGTTCTTTACAAATCCAGGACCACAGCGCCTGCCTCAGTGCGAGTGAAGATGATGCAACACAACTGTTGTTCATTTCAACGGCTTTCTGTAGCATCAGACAGAACAGACAGGCACTTTTCTACGTGCCATCATGGGAGCAAAAAACCATGCCTCATCTGGCTTCCCTCCAATGAACCAAGTCACGTGGCTGGTTTCCTGGCTAACTATGGATATGGCACTAGCTGATGGCAGGCAGTTGTTTTGTCCCCCTCCCCGTAAGAAGCTCACCTCTGCCCGTATGCATGCACACCAGTATATAAATTGCTGAATCAGTGTCAGTGATAGAGTAATGGCACGGGAGGCATCGTAAATTACAGCAAGCGATCCCAGGGCGCAGACACTGGCTGTCGTGTCTGAGTGAGCGCTGCGCTCCTGAGCTAATGAATACCTTCATCTGGCCCCGGCAGTCAGCAGATTGCCCCGCGTTGATGGATACTGTCAGCCCTCCGCCACACCACATTTCATTGCACAATAAACATGGTTGTCAAAACCAAACAAAGTGAAATCAATTCATCCTGTACAGTGAGTGCATGCTAAATGAAATTAACGTACTGTGGGGTTTGGTGGCAGCAAAGGTAGTGTATTATTTCTGAATTCATGATGGCTTTAGGGCCTATAGCCTTCTAGGAGATGGTACTCGCAGAGTTTGAAAACGTGTTAATGAAACTAACACAAAGCTCCTCTTTAACGGATTCTACTACTAGGACATTCATAGAAATATGCATTCACATATGAAACATGTATTTTTAAAACTAGAGACTAAGCAAAGGGAAGGGTTTTGCAGGTGAGGCCTTCTCTTGAGGCATTTGGATGAGGATGATCATATAAAATAAAATAAAAAGAGAGAGAAAAAACATAATTCAGTGCATCAAGTTATACTTAATATGTGACAATGAATGAGACAACATTATGACAATCTTTTAGGAAATTATAATAAAGGTAATATATTGTTTTTAACCTCTATTTTAGACATATTTTAGACTATTGTAACATCAAGAGAAGGTTTACTTCTTTCCCCCAAAATGTAAGTAATTTATGTATTTATTTTATATATACTTTTTTTTTCTCCTAAAGACAGAAACAGGATTTTGAGATGAGCCCAGCACATGTTGTTAAGTATATGATTGTGACTTCCACTGGACTATAACTATATGACAATAAGAGCTGAATCCTATCGGCAGCAAAAGCCACAATGTGAAAACACATTTTCCACTGGCCTCCCAGATGAAGGCAAGCCTCCGTGGATTATAAATGTGCCTATTTGACCGTTTAACATGAGCTGGTGAAAATCATTTGGGGGGCCTTTGTATTGGGAGAAACAGGTTTCCTAGTGGGCAGCAGAACCTTAAACATTCTCTGTGAGCATAAACCAAAACTAACCTCCACCTCTATTTTACTCGAGGTGGTTTTGTGCCCCAGAAGCTGTGTGTGTGTGTGTGTGTTTCACTACTTGTCTCCTATAATACTTGTAAAGTAAACTAATAAAACATGACACCCTTTTTCAAAAGTGAAGACATTCAAACTCTTGAGGGTGAAAATGGTGCAGCAGCATCTTCCGTGATTACAGCGGAGCGAGGTTTCTGAGGATTTGGAATTAATGTCTCTGCACAGCCCTCCATTACTCATTAAGAGTTTGATTTTGTTTATCAACTGAAATAATAATAGAAATCAAACCCCAGGTAACGTGTGCCAAGGCTGCTAGTGGAATGGTCTAATGAGAAGGCTTCACATGTGGATGATGAAATATGCATGAGTCATCCCAAGCTTTCTTTTCCAGATTTGAGATCATTAAAGATGTATCGTAGCATATGGAAGGCTTTTTTTGTCTTATTTTTCAAGCCTTGTTTATCAACATGTTTTTGTTTGTTTAAATATTCATATTGCTTTTATTTAATTCTTTCACATCTTACATATAAAAGGAAGCAAATGCGCATGCAAACAGAAATCATTATCAGTCTGATGTACAGTTTAATACTGAGAGAAACTCTTATGCTGATTGTGAATGCCCTGATTGAGAAACAGCACTTTGCAGAATCGGCAGTCTCTCTTCGCAAATGTGTGCCTGGTTTGTTTGTGTGTGTGTGTATGTATGCTTAAAGTAGTAAGAGAGAGTGAGGAAGAAGAAGGGAGGGAAAAGAGAGAAAAAGTAAAGCAGGGGAATGTCGTGCCTGAATTTATTTATGCATGTGTTAAAATGTACTTCGGCAGAAAGCTTTATTAAAATTTGCCAGAGTTCGAGCTTTCCTCCTTGATTTTCTATAAGTCCCGTATTTGTTATTTATCTTTGCATTCTTGCAAATTGTATGGACACTATGAATGTCAAAATGAAATGTATGCGGCAGAATAGAAAAGTATGAACACTTGCAGACCAAATATTTAACTGCCATTGAGGTCTGAGGGCTTGCTCTTTTGGTTTTGGATAGACCTGACAATAAGCAGCATAGCTCCCCCTTAAACTGACATTGTAGTCGCTTTTATAGCACATAAAATATAATCCAGTCAAGTCAGGTTTTCCACTCTAAACGGGTCTGTAGCCCTGCACTCATCTGAAACAATGCTCATGATGATGACGGCAGTGATGACGGTAAATGAAGGAGAGTTTGAACATGGCTCGTCATTTAATCAATGTCTTGCCTCGCTCTCTCTTCTTGTTCCTGCTCTGGCTATTCCAGGTTGCAAGGAAGTAAATGGCTCTGCAGATAAACCCCAACCCTATTATTGTTGGCCAACAGGAGGCGCTGGATCTACTGAGGCACGAGTCTTCAGAGAAGCCCGAGGAAGGAACAACAACGAGCCCCACATTAAAAGGCCAATGAATGCATTTATGGTGTGGGCAAAGGATGAGCGGCGCAAGATCCTCCAGGCCTTTCCTGACATGCACAATTCCAACATAAGCAAGATTTTGGGTAAGACCTTTTAGCTGCACTTATGTCACTGGCAAATTAAACAGAACTATGTTATCATGAACTAACTTCCATTCCTGCCTCTGTACCCTTATTGCTATACAATAAGTGTAGCTGATCTGACAAAGTAGTTTGTATGTACAGGAGCAGGTTGTGTTATCTCATAGGCCATTGTGCACCAGGACACCGCAGCATACAGATGGATTTATAGCCCATCACTACCATAAGTGTTTGTCATGAAAAATGACAGAGGCTAAATGGGTCTTGCCCCCTCAGCATTGGAGTCCATACATCAGAGCTGTTATAAGTGCTGTCATCCACTTACTAGTAAGACACTTCAGAGAGATGCAGTATTTACTATACTATCTTGTTGTTCCTTACTGTTTGACATCGAAGCATGTCTCTCGTCTCAGATAATATGCAGGCTATCAAGAAGTTGGTGTGAAATGCATGATAAAACATGATTTTGCTGGAAAACTTACAAAGTGCAGTGCAATGTTAATCTTAAGTTTAGACCCCATGTGGGAAAATTTAATTCGACCGTGTATTTCACATAAATTATTTGTTCTTGTAAGATAGTGAAGTGGAGAGCCTCTGACTCTATATGATTACATAATTGATCATTTAAAGATAACATCCTAATTGGAATACTCTTTAATCATGTTTACAATCCGTTATTAAGGCTGCTTTTTTTCCAGCTTGTGTGAAAATACTGAAATCTGAATCTACTGCGTTGGCTAGGTTCTCGGTGGAAGTCCATGACAAACCAGGACAAGCAGCCATACTATGAAGAGCAGGCCCGTCTGAGTAAGCTCCACCTAGAGAAGTACCCAAACTACAAGTACAAGCCACGGCCCAAGAGGACCTGCATCATCGACGGGAAAAAACTCCGCATTGGAGAGTACAAGCAGATGATGCGCTCACGGCGGCAAGAGATGAGGCAGTTCTTCACTGTGGGGTAGGTGCGCAGTCACAAATCCCTCAAACTAGAGCTTGTTCTCATACAATGTAAGCACCATTTCCAAAGGCGAGTGTTGAGTTAAACTCCACTGTATTGGTATTTAAGACAAGACTGACATGCACATTAAAATCAAGTGTTTTTCAATAGCTGTGATTTACCAATTTTAGACAATAGCAGTCTGCAAATGGAGCATGAAGTGCAGACATTATTACAGGATATAAGCTGTTAAGTATAGACTTACAGAAGGCTGGAGGGCAGCAGGCTGAAGCTTAACACTTTAATTTACTGTGTGTGGTAAGCAGGAGAACCCTCCTCCAGGTGTTCCCATGTCAGTCATAAGCTTCAGTGGCTGGAGTATCAATCATCCTGCACAACAGCGAGAGTAGCACTAACCACGTATTGGTTTTATGTCACCAATAAACTGGGTAGCGTTCCTGAACAGCTCAAGACGGGAGCTGTCAGGAGAACCTCTCTTTTCCCAAATCATTTTCACAGAGCTGCTGGCTTAAAGCTGACTGCTGTAGGAAACCCCTAATCCAACTATCTCAGTTTAAAGTGCTGCAAAATATAAAAATTTAAATATATAGATATATACATTTAAATATATAGATACATTTTTGAGACTACCATAAGCAGCACTCACTCTTTAAGTGTTTATGAAGGTCAGATTAGGTAAATCATGACAGAAAAGTGGGTTTGATCTCAATTTCTTCTCTTTCTCCTACATCCAGACAGCCACCACAGATTCCCATCACCACCAGCGCCAGCATGGTCTATCCTGGGGCCATCACCATGGCGACCACCACACCCTCACCTCAGATGACGTCAGAATGCTCGAGTGCATCAGCGAGTCCTGAGCCATCCATTCCTGTCATTCAGAGCACCTACAACATGAAGCTAGAGCCCAGTACCATGGCAAACAACAGTGAGCCGGTCAATGGCGAGGATGAGATGGACATGTACGAGGATTTTGAGGATGAGCCCAAATCAGACTATAGTAGTGAAAATGACACACAAGAGCCAGTCCGCGCCAACTGAGTCCCCTCTTTAATGGGAAAGGCTAATGCAGACACAACACTCGTACAGGAGGATGTCCCAGAGGGCTGGTCTGATCTGATCCGATGGAGCGAAAGAGCAAAAGAAAAGTACACCACAAAGGTTTTGAATATGTATTAAAAAATTAACAATGATGTATCATTTAGGAGCCAGCATGCAGATGTGGCTTCATCAGAATCAAAAGCTATTTGGTCTTAAGTGTTTCTTCAAGAGTGTGAAGCAGTTTGGTTGTGTTTTTTTTTTTTTATCTCATTGTTTATTTTGTCATTGTGATCATGGACATTTACACAATTAGGTCATTGCCTAGAACAAAAGACGGAACTTGAAATTGAACATTTAATATGAACCTATAATTCTTAGACTCATTTATCTTGTTTTCCTCTTCAATTAAATGATTTTGATATATTGCATAACTGTTCAAGATGGGAATAATATTCTCACTCAGGTATAGTGTGCCAGCCAACAGCTTGTGAATGTTTTCAATCAAGAATCAATTATTAACAGTACAAAATATCTCAAAATTCATATGGAGTGGTTCCAACTTATTATAGCGGGAAATTACACATTATTATTATTATTATTATTATTACTGTGTTTTCGTTGTTATTGTTATTACACAGACTGCATAATTTAGTGCAGAAGTGCCAAACATTTCAAGTTGTTTCTAAAATCTGTAAAGTCTTTTGGGAGAGGCTTCGTGAGTCTTGGACAATCTCTTGATCTCTTAATACAGCTTCATTATCCAGTCTTTCTTTAATTTACTCTAACAGAATAAACAAATGAAACTCAGGAACTTGGAGGCAGCAGGCTCTGCAGGAGGTTAGACTATGTGACATCTAGGTGGTAGCGTGTGATGCTAGCTGTTCTCCAGGGAGCCCAATGCAGTGATCATCAATGAAACCGGCCAGCCCTTTCATTTTCTCACCCGAGTCCACACAGAGCACCGTGGCATCCTTAACTCATTTCAAGCTCCGCAACCCAGTCTTGACTCACCAAGTTCTTAATCAGAGTGATTGTAATCAGGCCAGAATGCTAAAGGGCCAAAGGCCTCCAATCTGTGGGATTGGAACAGCAGCGAAAGGCAGCTTTGGGGGCATTACAATCCCAAATTGATGTTGTACAATGTGTAGCTACAGTACGTTCTGTTAAACACTTTAGCCCCATTTGGTCGGCAAGTTTAAAGTCTTAGGTCTTAGCACTTCATTTTTTTAAATCTTAATTCTTTTTAGACATTGTAAATCTTAAATTGACACTAAGAAGTCTTAAAGGAGAGCACGGACATCGGGTTGATGCAATGAGTTGATTACTGCCGTAGTCTTAAGAGGAGTGACAGGATATTTATAAACTGAGAGAAAGCCTAAAATCATTGTTTGTTTCTTAAATTACCTTGTCATGCGACAGGGGAAACTTAAAACACTGATTTTTGCATTAGTGCACTTACACAAATCTTATTCTGTCACCCTTGAGCCTTACGCTGTTATTTTTAATAATCTTATCTTATGGAATGCACTTACCTCTTGCATTTTAAATAGGAAAACATTTCAAATGAGTCAGAAACAAGGGGCGCAAAGTCCCTATCCAGAATTTCAAGTGGTGACCTTCTGGAGACTACAGCTAGATAAAGCAAGGCCTTGATGTTGAGACTCAGATCCTCTTTATAGGGCAGAAGGTCTAAGTGGCTCCCCTCCCTGCCATGCCCTGCTCTGACCCCTGCCCGTGGTAACCTCAGCACCCAGGGGGTGCCATCTGGCTCAGAGAAGGAGAAAACACCAGGGAGGGATGGGAAACAATAAAAATGGGGTGTGTGTCCCTCATTGTGCTCTCCATCAAAGTGCTGGTAGTAAGGCCTCAACAGGGCTCCCACCCTGGCCCAATCACCAGGCACTGGCGAGCAGATGGAACAAGTACATCAAGCTGTGGGGGATTATTAAAATGACTGACGACTGGGTATCATCTGAAATACAGCATTATTAATTCATGAGTCCAGCTATTCCCCTCCCTTGCTCCCTTGCCCTTGAACCTGTCCATTTCAGAAAGAGCACAGAGCCTTTTGAAGGTGCTGAATTGCTGGTTACTGGCTGCAACTGGTCAAGATCCCCACTGCTGGTCACTGCATTTTTCTCCTAGCTCTAATTGGTACAGATGGCTCTTTATATCTCTTAAGCACTCATATCTTCAGTACTTTTATTGTCTTATTGTCAGTGCTGGCTTGCATTGTTTCTACTTTTTGGAAGCATTTATATTAAGTGTAGTAGGTTTTTTAACCACCCCATTAATAATTCCTATTTTATTTTTTTTCCCCCCATCACATCTTTTCTACATAGCTCTCATTTTGAGGTAGAAGACATTTAATGGATGCTCTCCTGCAAACAAACCCAAGTGGACTTCCCTCTAAGTCTACCTGTTTGGTATTTTTAAGCTGTTTGCTCCTGTTTGCTGGTGGTTAAGATTGATTTGTATGTGATTGTAAATATTTTCATGACCATGCCACATTGCTTTAGTTGGCTGGTAGTTAAAAAGGACTTTTCACAGAACTGAAACTTGACTGTGCTTATATAGCGAAAAAAGACAAAAAAAGACAAAAAAAAATGACAAGAACTCACAAGGAGACGATGTTTCATAAGTGTTATAAGCACTGGATATAAATTGTATTTTTATCAATTCTGATTAATGTGAAGCTGTTTGAGGAAAAACACCATGAATGAACAAAATTCCCCAGTTGGACTCAAGTGGGTTTGCTCTCACAGTTGCCAGATTTGAGTCTTTTTTTTGTCTACTTATTTTGTTTATTTATGCAAAGACACATGTGATGAATGAACACTTTGTTTAAGCTTCAGGGTTGCCTAGGGGAGAGACTCAGCACAAGAAAGTGAGCAGAAAATTCAACAGCAGGCTCGGTTATCCGTCAAACACCAGACTTCAGACTTCAGTGCATTATATATTGTATGTGAAACTGCAGAGTATCAACAAATTGTATTTATTATTAGCCACTGCTGGCTCTAAAATTGCCAGTGAAACAACAACATGGACAATCAGAGGAATAGAAAAAAACACAAAAAACAAAACACATATTTGATGAATTGGAGCTAAAAATGGTTTTTAGTGAAATCACCATCTCATTTAGATTTTATTGTAAATATAACATAGGAAATATATTTTTGTTCATTAGTGAAGTATAAGTTATGTATTTGGCTATTCTATTTTATTTTATTTTTCATGTTTGTTTTTTTTTGTACATGGTTTCATGTTTTTAAAACCTGACAAGTCACTGTAACTCATGTAGATGCTGAGTTTTTCTGCTTATTAGAAGAAAGCAGTATTGGACCTGAGATAGAGACAAGCTCCTCACTTGCTATGTTTTGATAATCTTCCCTGGACTATTCAAAGAACCAATCGAAATAAAAGCTACACTTATTAGACTTGTGAATAAAGGAGTCATTACAAGGTACATTTAAACAACAAGCACTTGATGTTTATTCAATAATTTGCTTCCAATCATGATACAATCTAAGTGGTATGCTGTATATCCTCACTTGTGTCTTGTGTTTATTACAGCACCCATGGTATGTGGCAAAAATATCTTATGAGGAGCTGATATCATCCTAAAAACAAATCTGCATGCATTTGGCTTGCATTTACATTATCATAATAAACAAAGGTGTTTTTTCATAAATGATTGTTTCAAACACAAGTGATGTTTTTAGATTTTTTTTTTTGAAAGGTGGGAGTGTGCAAATATTTATTTGTTTCAATGTGGCAAAATGCACAGACATTGTGCGGTCTTCTTAGTTAATTCTCTCGTCATCTTTTTGTATGCGGATTTTTAATGAACATGTTCATGTCATGACTATCCAGCCATCTACAAATGTAGCCCTCACAGTTGTTTTCTCTTAATCCACTTGTTAGACACGCAAATGGTTTGAAGACAAAAGCTTGTATGCTGTTTGAACATTACTTACTGTAATTTCTTTTTTTTTTCTGTCTGAACTTTGTGATGTATATGGTGGGAATGTTCTCTTTGTTAATTTAATCAGCACAATTCACTGACATGCTGGACTGACATGCTAGCTGCTGTTCAGAAGTGTAAAATTTGTCGTTCAGGGCAACATTTATAGTTGTCTTTGGTACTTTGCTTTTTAGAGTTGTCTCTCAAGCAACACTGTGTGTGGCTCTTCTATCACTGGAGCCATTGTTTTGAAATTGCTGGCAGCCTGATACAATTTTCTGCGTAGAAATGTTTGGGTTTTTTTGTTCGTTTTTGTTTTTTCTGGCAGGTACCTAGGCCCATGGCAAGTATTGTTTGGGTGTTATTAGAGAAAATGAAATACATAGTGTCTGTTGCTGCTTTAAAAAAGTTTATGTCCGAATATGTAAATAGTTTATCATAATATCTTGTACAGTCCAATGTAAAGTTTTTAATTCAACTTAAAAAAAATGTTGCCATCACGTTTGTGTTCACAATCTTCTTTATACAGTACAAAAATTATTTGCTAGGGGTATTATTGCTAAAAAGAAAAAAAATGAAAATGTTACTAATTTTTTTTTTATGTTTGTTTTGTTTTGCTTGGCTTCAAAGTGTACACCAGCAAGTCTTTGGTTTCCATGTGCAGTATTGACGTGAGGTAAACTTAAGGTGAATAATTTTACAGTGGTGTGTGTGGAGAGCAATCTCCTCAGCTTTGGTAGTATTAATACACTATATCAATTAAAAACAAACCAATGAGTGACACATTTGGGTGTATCTAGGCCCCATAAAAATGTGTATACTGTATATGATTAAATTATCCCCACAGGATCTATTCAGGCATATTATAATGTAACACCATTTTCTGTATGTCTCAGTCCATTGTAACAATGCAACAGTGGGATGAATAACTGCCTGTTTAAGCTCATTTACCTCAAGAATTTCCTCCTTTTCTGTAAACGAGACAGAAATTGTGTTACAGAAAACTTCTCCCATCACTCCATCTTTTGTACTGCTG